AATGAAAATTATGTCATTAATTACTCACCCTCGTGTCGTTCCAAACCCGTAAAACCTTCGTTCATCTTCGGAACATGAATTAAGATATTTTTGATGAAACGTGAGAGCTCTCAGACCCTGCATTCGACGTAATCAGCGTTGTTTACGTTCGGGAGAGAAAGAGCACGCATGAACGTAATCTGCGAAATCAGCGTTGTTTACGCTTAGAGGAAAGCTTGCGTATGGGTTGTGATACTCTCTAAAATGGCAGAAGACGTAACTCAGGCGAGAAGAATTGTTGAATAAATTTCGTTATTTTTGTTTTCTTTGCGCTCAAAAAGTATTGTTGTAGCTTCGCATGGTTGCTTTTCCTAAGCTCAGGAGATTTAGACGAGATTCTCATGTAACTCTCATTTTAGTATCAACAGCAAGATGTTTCTCCTAAAATTCCTTAGGAGAAATAGAAGTAGACACAAATGAGACATGAGAAATATTTGAGAAAAAAAGAGTCAAAACAGAGAATGTGGTGGAAGAAACATAGAATATATCTTTATTGTCTTGCTGCAATCTCTATCAAGACTCCATTATAGGAATATTTTATTGCTCAGTGGTTGCTCTTTCTAACCTCAGGAGACTTAGTTGTGATTCTCATGTATTTCTCATTTTAGTCTCAACAGTGTCTCAGATGTCTCTCCTAAAAATCCTTAGGATAAATAAAAGTAGACACAACTGAGAAATGAGAAAGTTCGGTAACACTTTATAATAACGTTCATAGTTGTAAGGCATTTATAAGTGATTAGTTAATGATGAACTAATTATTTAAAAAACATAACTATGTGTTCATAAATTATTAATAAGTGATTTGTTCATATTTTTATATATGTTTTGTAGATTGAGTTATAAATCATTTACAAGTGATTAGATGATGATTAACTAATCATTTACAAAACATGACTATACATTCACAAATGATTAAGTAATATGCTAATAATTTACCAATCTGTCAGGTTATCTTAAAAAATAGCATATCATGAAATAATCAAACATATCCTTAGTAAAGGGTTCATAAGTTACTAGTTAATATATTATTAATCACTTATAAATAATTGAAATGTCAACATTGTACTAGTATCTCTATAAACATTTGTTAATCATGAACAAATGATGATTAAACCATTAGTAAATGATCAGTATATAATTTATGTATGTTTGTCATTTATGTTTGTTCAGGATTAACAAATGTTTATTAAGATAATAGTGCAATGTTGACATTTCAATGATTTAATAAGTGATTAATAATATATTAACTAGTAACTATTAACCATTTACTAAGGATCTGTTTGATTATTTCATGATGCTATTTTTTAAGATAACCGATTTGTAAATCGTTAGCATATTACGTAAAAATTATTTGTGAATATATAGTCGTTTTATAAATGATTAGTTCATCATAATCTAATCACTTGTAAATGATTTATAACTTAATCTGCAAAACATAGATAAAAATATCAACATATCACTTATTAATAATTTATGAATGCATAGTCATGTTTTGTAAATGATTAGTTCATCAACTAATTACTTGTAAATTAATTAACAAAACATACACAAATTGTTAGCATATCACTTATTAACTTACACTGCAGTACACACTACAAAGTATTCAAAACCTGTTGTGTAAACACATTAATAAATCATTTACAAAGCTTCCTGCATCCCCTATTCTAAAGTGTAAACTACTCATCAGTTATAAATGTTTTACTCATAATTTCGTAGATCTTTCACCCCAGTGTGTACACACACACAACCTGTAACCGGCAGGTTTGTAAAACATTTACAACTGATGAATAGTTTACACTTTAGATTAGGGGATGCAGAAAGCTTTGTAAATTATTTATTCATGCGTTTACACAACAGGTTTTGAACACTTTGTAGTGTGTACTGCAATGTAAGGGCTGACTGGTGAGGGTGTAGACAGATGTCTTCTCTGACACACATGGAGTATTTTAATGCTGTGAGATAATAATACAATGTTGACATTTCAATGATTTATAAGTGAATAATAATATATTAACTAGTAACGTAACTAGTAACTATACTGAAAACAATGATTCATTGAATTTACTTTTTTTTTTTAAATAAGTGGTTGCAATCTATTTATTTTAGCTACATTCAAATAAACAAATGTAGTTGACTAACTTTCAACATTTTTTTTATTGAAATGTAGCTAAAATATATTGTTTGCAACCACTTACCTTAAAAAAATTAGTATAATTGTTTTTCAGTGTATTAACCTTTTACTAAGGATTTGTTTGATTATTTCATGATGCTATTTTTTAAGATAACTTACGAGATTTGTAAATCGTTAGCATATTACTTAATAATCATTTGTGAATATATAGTCATGTTTCATAAATGATTAGTTAATCATCATTTAATAAATTGTAAATTATGTATAACTTAATCTACAAAACATAGATACAAATATTAGCATATCACTTACTAATCATTTATGAACGCATAGTCATGTTTTGTAAATGATTATTTCATCATTAACTAATCACTTGTAAATGACTTGTAAATGAATTAACAAAACATACACAAATTGTTAGCATATCACTTATTAATTGCTTATGAATGTTTTGTAAATGATTAGTTCATCATTAACTAATCAATTATAAATGATTTACAACTGAACGTTATTATAAAGTGTTACTGAAAGTTCTGAAAGTTATGATATCAAAGTATCAAGTATTATGGGGGGAAGTCGTGGCCTAATGGTTAGAGAGTCGGACTCGGAACCCAAAGGTTGTGGGTTCGAGTCTCGTACCGGCAGAGATTGTAGGTGGGGGGAGTGAATGTACAGCGCTCTCTCCCACCTTCAATACCACGACTGAGGTGCCCTTGAGCACCGAACCCCCAACTGCTCCCCGAGCGCCGCAGCATAAATGGCTGCCCACTGCTCCGGGTGTGTGTTCACGGTGTGTGTGTGTTCACTGCTGTGTGTGTGCACTTTGGATGGGTTAAATGCAGAGCACTAATTCCAAGTATGTGTCACCATACTTGGCCACATGTCACGTCACTTTCACTTTCACTTTCACTTATAATGAAAGTAAAGATTTAAAGGAGACAAATGTGAGAGATCCAATGTCTGTAGCTAAGGAGAAACATTTGAGCACAGTGTGTGTTGGATGCTGTTGAGAACGTGTTTGGAACTTTGGAGGAGACAAATGTGAGACCACCAGAGTCTTTAGACTGGGAGAAATATCTGAGCACAGTGTGTGATGTTGTTTACACCGCCGCTGAAGCGCCGTACCACCAGCACGAGAGCCCACGAAGAGCATGCTACGTAGATAGGTCAGGAGCAGAACGATAGAACCGCTCGGCTCCGAAGCAAAAAGCTGAATATGCGCTGCATCTGCTGCCTACTTATACTCACGCCGTGATCAGCGGCAGCTGGATGCAATAATCGCATGCCAATGTGCATTGGCTCGTTTAGTTTACACTCGAAGTAGATTGGTCTCTCTAAGCGAGATCCCAATTCGTCGGTCATCCGACGTGACGTCGAGAGTGACCGACTGAAAGGGAACCTCATTTCTGTCTAGGAGAAATATTTGAGATGTTAAAAATATCTCACTTTTGATTTTTCTTTCCTATGGATGAGGGTGAGTAATTAATGACAGAATTTTCATTTTTGGGTTAACTATCCCTTTAAAGGAAAATATGAAAAGCGTGTATGTGTTAATTTATCAAACTAAATTTAAAAAACAGAAAATAAATAGAAATGTGAAGTATTAACTACTGTTATGCATGCACACAGTTTGGGATTGACAACTGTATAAATGTCAAATTTAACTGTTCTTATAACAACTTACAGGAGCAGCTTAAATATTGTCTGTATGAACTAATGGCAAAAGTCAGGCTCTTATATTCTCAATAGCAAAGTAACCATAGGCACCAAAGTAAATTTTGAAGATTCAAAGACTGGAAAGTCTTATCACACACACACACACACACACACACACACACACACACACACACACAAACATGGGACAAGTGTGTGTGTGCAGTGCAGAATGACTTATTACACTGTACGACGTGGCAGTCAAGTGCAGTTTCATTAACACTTCACATCAAAACTAACTCAATATGCGGTTGTGAGCTCTGAAAATGTAAGGAAGTTTGTTCAGTTATAGAATGCAATTATCACTCTCATTAATAATCAAAATGTGCTTGAACATAGTTGCATTTAACACTCTAAAACAGGATGGACATCTGTATTGTACTGCTGTGTGAGTTAGTTAGAGTTTGCTTCAGGTCACTGTGCAGCTCATTGAAGATGAGACAGGCCTCTGTTCAGGATGTGAGAGGAAAAATAAAAAAACATCAGACAGATTTATTAATGGAGTCTAGCTTGCAGCACTTTTGTAATGGCAGTATGTTAATAAAGCAATAAGCCACAAGAGGCCACCGTTAGGGATTGTTCTTACTCATGACACAACACTTTTTTAGAAAACTGTAATATAGCAATAAATATGATTTATATTATTTTGTTCTTTTGATTAATTTGTAAGACGGATTTTGTAATATATAGGACTATTCATTTATTATTTATATATTATACTATATTAATAGTGTTTTACATGAGTAGGGGACGCACTGTAAATAGCTACTCACAACACGACCAAATACAGAAACACAATGCAAATACTCGCAACACAAACAAATACAGTAACTCTCTGCAAATAGCTACTCACCACACAACCAAATAAAGAAAAGTGCTGCAAATACACACAATGCGACCAAATACAGAAAAGCTTTGCAAGTAGTACAGACCACAATGGAACCCTTATTTATCGCTAAGACAGGTCAAACAGATTAGAAAATAAAATGTTAGCCGTGTTAGTCTGTTTTCTAGAGATCATGATTCTAGAAGTTAATTTCTTAGTTTATTTTCCCATTTGCCATAATCCAATACCATAAATTGTGTAAATCCGTTTGTGTCTGAGATCTAGTTCATTTTCTGGTCTGTAAATCTTCATGCTGCAATAACAAAAAAAAGTGTATCAGAGCTGTGCAGTACAGTAATTAAAAAATTAGCAAGCAAATATAACTGCAGGTTGAGATTATTTATAGGTTTTCTATATGTATTAACAGATTTATATTTTAATTTTATTTGTTAAAAATATATTTTCTTATATTTATTTTTAGATTTAGTAGGCCTAAATAATAACCTCATATGCTGGTGGAGGTGCATTTGGGACTGGACCATAGTTTGGTGGAGTTGCATCTGAGACTCTGTCGTAGTTGGGTGGAGGTGTAGTTGGTACTGGACTGTAGATTGGTGGAGATGCATTGGGGATGGGACCATAATTTGGCAGAGGTGCGGGTGGGACTGGGCTATGTGCTGCTGGCAGCACATTCACAACTGAACTAACAGGCCCAGCCACTGCAGAAGTGTCTGACTGGCCCATTTGCATGATATGGTTGACAGGCAAATCTGTGGTCACATAACTGACCATGACAGGGGTTGACTGAGAAATAACCAACATGACATTTATTATACATCTATTTCATCAGTTTTTTTTGTAATGATGTTTACCTTTGGGTTGCAGCAACAGGAAAATGAGGTTACGGCAATATCAAGAGAGAAGATGAAGATCACAATATCACAGGCGATAAGGACATAGAAGGACACATCCGGAATAATCTAATTACTAGTGATACAGTGATTATGAACTAAAATATAAATATGAATCAAAAACCAGTTGCTAGATCTAAACAGTATTAAGGACAGATTAGGTACTGCTACGTTAAACTGATGCAGACTATCAGTGCCACAACATATAAGCATTTATACGATATTAAGGCATTTATATCAAGCTGTTTGGGGGTAATAATTTTAATGTAGACATTAGGGCCGGGTAAAATATTGATTTCTCTATTTTAAACAATCACATGCAGAGCACACGTGAACCGATTAGCTCTACCACTTTACTACTAGTTACTGCACAAAATAAACGTGAGTCAACATCAGTAGGTTGAAAGATACAATACAATTTATGGGACAAGTTTCAGAAATTCTAAGCAATTAAAAAATAACAAAATAAAAATAAACAGTGTGTAATTTTAACTGTGTAACATGATATTTCTGATGTCTAAAATGGGTCACACTTGATGCTGACAGAGTCTAGTCACATTGATGGTAATGTGCACAAGTACAAACTCACACTCACCCACTTCAAATAAATGCAGGAGAGCTCTCTTAAAATCAAAATGAGTAACATTTCAAGAAAGGCCTTTTTTCTATTTTCTACCTTTTGTATTTTCTTCTCGCTTTTCTACTTTAAAATGTATTAATCCATTATACGCACATTTTCTCCATTTCGTCTGCAGCCTTTGTCCAGCAGTATATAGCTGCTTAGTAATGAAGAATGGTGAGTAGTGATATGATGCACCTAATGTCAACTTGATTGATGGCTTTGACCTTTGTGACCTTTACCTGGGGGACAGAGAAACCATGTCTTCACGTTATTTCAGTAGCTTCTCAAACGAGATGTTTAAGAGCTGTATCCATCTCGAAGACTGTCTAAATCCTGAGGACGACGGAGGTGCAGTGGACTGTGATGGTATGGCGTGGAGCAAGACTAATTTTGCAGCTTCGAATCGAATCTCAGGTTAATATCACATTTATGCACGCGTTTTAAATATTATCTAGACTTGTTTGTATTTCACAATGTTTTGGGTACACAGTGTTTTGGCTACAAGGATCATGACCGTCTATCTTTCCTATTCTAACTTGCAGAAAATTTTGCCGGAGAACATTGCTGGAATGTTTACACAGATGCAATTTGAGAGTCGAGGTCTTTACATCTGTAATGTTACGCTTTGTTTTAAGAAGCTTGTTTAAATAACAACGAGACCTCTTTACATATGCTTTGGATTTAACCGCGACGACATAAATATTCTTAATTTAGACACGGTTGTATTCTCTTTCTCTCTCTCTCTTTCGCTCTCACGCACGCGTGCGCATTCAATTGTCCCAAGTCGTATTCTCTTCTTTTAAAGGAAAATAAATAAATTAATTATGTGATCGCATATGATATAAAACAAAGGAAAACATTTACACTAGTTTTAGTCATCACAAAAAATATAAAAACGTTGTACATTTTACCAGGATCAGGAAAAAAAATTATATATATTTTAACAGGTCAAACGATAAGGACTATTGGGGCCCCGGACATGTCCGGTCATGTTTATGGAGACTTTACATTGACATAATTCAATTAAATTTAATTCATGTTTATTTGTATAACTTTTTCACAAACCAAATTGTCGCAACGCAGTTTCACAGAAAATGTAAGTTTCTACATCATATTTATATTTACATTATATTCATAAATTTTATACTTTATACACTCTTAAACCTACCATTACAGTAAACTTTCTACATTTTTTTTTATATTTTCAGAAACATATTACATATTTTTTATAATTTAAAAAGCTGTTATGCTCATGGGGACAATCATTTGGAGTATTACTACAATCCATTATGACACTCCATAGACATAATGATTTTTACTGTACAAACTGTACACCTACCATCACACAAAAAAATGTCTGCATAGATACATTTTTAATTAAATATTGTTTTTAAGCGATCCGAATTATGAGGACTTAAGAAATATCCTCATAAACACATTTACCTTGTTATATCAGTGTAATACTCATGTCATTATACAAATTTGTGTTCTGATAAATCTGATAAATCAGCACACACATAAACATTACAAGCTAAAGAGAGTCTTATCTCTATTTTAAAGAATATGGAGAATATGGAAATTATATGACGGTATGTTTTCCTACCGTGCTACTAAAGCAAATCATCAAGCAATTTCAAAAAGTATCCAACATTTAGTTAAGCTTATTGAATTTATAAAACACATCATTCTCTTCATTTAAATAAATAAAATGTGATTATATATAATATACTTTATAAAAATACACATTTACTATAGTTTCAGTTGACAATAAAAATGCTTTACATTATTCTGGGAGCGATGATGACTAACCAGAGGTTTAAGTAGGAAAAGCTCCTCCGTCTCTTGTTCTAACCCTCACCCTCAGTTCTAACCCTCACCATCACCTTCTCTCTCTCTCTCTCTCTCTCTCTCTCTCTCTCTCTCTCACATACAAATAAGGTTTAGGGTTTCTACATTGTTTTCTACATTGTTACGATGGCCACCACTGCTCCAAACACTCCTGAAACAAGAGCGATGTGTGTAACACCGTCGAGAAGTTCTGTTGAAACGGGTGAAGATACGCACCGAAAGACGTGGTCCGGCAAAGATTGGCCGTGAATATGAAGATTTTGTAAAGCAAGATTTCTCTGTGTCTGATGAACGCGTGGGAAGATTTGTGTTTGACAAGATGCAGCAGACTGTGAAACTCTACGTTTTTGGAATCTTACGAGGAATATACATCCGAATGTAACCACATGATTTTGACCGCCGTAGACTGGGCATACTTTTACAATCAAATTTGGAGAGAATTTAATTACGGTGGAAAAATGTGGTACTTTTTACAGTGGGAAGGTGCCACACAGGGAATGAGGTACCTTGCGACCAACCCACCAGAAAACATTTCCAGCCTGTTGGAACAAAACGCTTCATGACCAGAATTATCTTATGATGGTAAATAAACGTCGGGAGGACTCTGAAACAAACTTTTTGTCTCAAAGCAGCGACGAGTCTGACTCTGAGTATGATCGTGACTGGTCTATCCCTGAGGACAACCCTTTCGAATGCTGCAAAACGAGTCTATATTTCGAGCAGAGCGACGTACCTGTGTTAAACACCATTTTCTCAACAATAAACGAACTGTTTCAGTCAAGTTAAATGATCATGTCTGTGTGTATTCAGCATAATTATGTATCCAGTATAACAAACCTGAACAACAGGTATTCCTGAATTGTACCTGAAACAATTTGCCAATGACTTAATTATTTTAAATGACCGAGTTACCTCGTAATCTTTAATCAAAATATCTTCCGGTGAAAAATAAAATATCTTTGGTGGCATATGCGAGGCTTCGCCGGTCAATCCCTAACCAGGGCCCCTTCACCCTCCTCCACTTTTGAGTGCAATGCCCCCATCTCAACAACCAGCCAACGGTCAAAACAAGACCTCTCCCCCAACAATTTATTTCACTCGAATGTACGACGCTATAGAGAAGATCCGTCACTGCTTCCTCATGACTACGGATACTACATAGCTATAAGCGAAGAGCGGCCGTTCTCATAAACTCTGCCGTTATTGCCTACTTTGTGGATTAAAACAGTCAATCCAGATTCAAGGAAGCGGCGACAACATTATCGATTAAGAGACAAAGTTTGCGAACGAATCGAATTCTGAAAAAGATGTTTGACACTACTGGCGCTGCTGCGGATGAGCAACTGGAGTGCTTCTGCGCCGTGGGGAACACGTGTCCTGGAAAAAACGTTGTACACTCTATGTTTAAACAACGTTACAGAGAGCAAATGATTGATCTTATACGTAAGATCATTGACGATGCGTCCGATCCAAATCATGATCGTACGGGGGATTCCAAGCGTGTAACAAATCTCAAAAATGAAATGGACGTTGTAAGAAGCCTGAAAAATAATCCATGTCCCGATTTGACGAGCTTGTATATGACCAACAAAGAGCCAATCTGTGTAACTGCCAGAAAAATTCTGGATGTGATGTCTGAATGTAACGATGAGATGTACATTGACAAGGTTCTGTGTCTGTGTACGTGTGTAACGGATTTATGTGTGACGCTTGTTCAAAAACAGTATGGTTCCATGATATGTGAAATTATTGAGACGCTAGTCAATTTCATATTACACAAAAACATGCTGGCATGCAGAGATTTTCTTTGCTGGCTAGATAACCTGTAATGTCATCACTATTGTTTGTAATAACAATTTGATCATTTTCTTCACATAATAAAAGTTAAATAAAAGTTTGAATCACTTTACTTGTTATTCTTTTCTCCGTGTTCAATTTTTGGATTTTAATGATTTTGCATACGCCTTTATCCTAAGTTGTAATGACAATTTGATCATTTTCTTCACATAATAAAAGGTTGAATCACTTTAGTCGTTATTCTTTTCTCCGTGTTCATTTTTTTAATTTTGCATACGCCTTTATCCTAAGCGAATGAGTACGACAGAAGCAACAAGTCATGGATAGTCTAACGCAGTACACGTAATTGAATAAAAAGAAAACGAGTAGACCTAATAGAATGTAGACGGAAGAGAATTATTAAGAAACGATCTAGTATCTGATATAAACTAGGATAATATAACGTAAATGACTCGAATGAAAAGGATGGGTTAAAGCGATATTTTATTAAATCAAGCAAATTCCCAGAAATATTGTCCTCTAACATGACAGCAAAAACTAGTAAAACAAAGCACAAGGTCTAACAATTACGATTAGATGGGAAAATACTAACAAGAGTGGCGAAACATACAATTTCAAAGTGTTATATTAATTTATGAACGCTGTTACAGAATTTGTCTTAGTGACATTCAATGGAATATTTTATTAAAAGATAATGCGGAGGACTGTTTGAGTAACGCTCTCGTCTTTGTTACATTTACTGTCAA